GACCCCATGGAAACACCCTAGAGCGAAATACCTAGTTTTAGACTATGTAAAATTTCAATAAATATCGTCTATTGTTTGTCGCAAAATGATTCTCTATCTTAACCGCTCTGTTTTCCTAAAATAATTTCATCGTCGATTTTCGAACAATGTTGTGTATATCGTGGTACGGACCCCATGGAAACACCCTCTATCCATTCGTAAAAAATACTTCTGTTGCGGCTTTTCCATGACCGAGAAAATTAGCTTTCTTTTTTTGCTACTTGTTTTCCGCAAATGTGTGCACAGTGTAATCGGTTTCCGATTTTTTCTGAAGCTTCAAATTCAACGAATTTTTTTACCGAAGATAGACCTACTAACTATACATATATACTAATAGTGCAAGCTACCGTTCCCCTGGACCGAGTTATAGGTTTTTCAAAAAACCCGCGGTTTTTGAAATAAATTAGGTTTCTCTAGATTCATTATCATTTAAATTAAAAAATAACGAGACATTTAGAATCAGCGGGAAAAAATGCGTCGAATGCTGTATAATGCAGCCGTATTTGTAAAGACACTTTCGAATTTAGTTGATTCCTTTGTTTCTTGGATGTGCGTATAGGAATTTTAAAGTGAAATTTTAAAATTTTAAATTATCGACAGATGCGATCGTCTAAACACTATTTCTGTAGGTTATCTATGATTCTGTATCCAATGGAATTGTTTCTGATTTTTTTAAAGGTTTTCTAAGTGGTTTTCTAGACACCGGATCTCTGGAAAACCACCTTCACAGCTTTTTTAGAATTTGAAAAACATTTCATTAGAGATAGAACACACAAGATAACCTATAAAAAACGCGCTTTTATGTTTTCCTCTAGCTTGCAGGCCAAAAGACCACGTGCCTAGTAAAATTGCCCACTGTGTATCTAATTGCAGCGTTGGAATAAATGTATTGATTAAAACATTGACTTCCCGGCGCACGGATAATAGTAAGTAAATGTATCGTGAGAAACATTGGGTCATCTACTTGTACTTGAAAGGAGGATTGAGTCATGTACTGGGTGAAACATAGACATCTAAATGCATAAAGCACACCATATTGAAATAAATGTATTTATTGAAACGTTGATATATCCGTGCATTGACAATGATGTGTAGACGTATTGTCTTAGTCACTTTGTCAGCCAGATGCATGGACCACTTCATTGACGCTAAATGCATTGTTCATGTAGATGCATGATGTTATGTCGTTATATCGAGAAAAACAGTTATCTGTATTTAGATGCATCTGGATGTCTCCATATTTGTCTAGATACAACGTGCGATGTCTCGATAACTTTCTTTTTGCTCATTTAGATGCATCGACAAGTGAATTGACGAATCTAGATACATTGGGCAATATTCCATGCTTTTTCTGTTCTTAGATCATAATTCACTATTCGAACATATGACCGTTCGCTTTTTAGTCTTTTGAACTCGGAATTCTCGGCCATTCTGTTTTTGAGCACTAACTTCGTTCTCTTTTCGGCTTTTACGTTTTACAATTCTGGTCGTTCTCTGATCACTCCAAAATTTAACCATAAATAGGCAACCGTTCTCTGAAAAATTCTTGTCCTAAATATATAGTGTTTTAAAAACCAACAGAAAGTACTTTGATCTTTGAAAGGTTTTCCAGGAAGCTTGGGGAATAAGGGAATACTTCATTCTAATTCCACTGCAAAATACGGTTAATCAGATAAAATGGAGTGTATCTTGAAGCAGTTTGGAACAATTCTGACTGAATAATGAATTTTTTTAATTACTGTGAAAATGTGAAACATAGTTTATTTCGCCTAGCGTACGTTTTCACTAGTTTTTGGAGGTTTTTCGAAAAACAAACATTGCCATGAGATTTAACGTGCTCGATAACCTATGTTCCATTTACTTCGAAAGTTCCCAAATATACAGTTTAGAGGACAGGTACGCCTTCGGAAAACCTCTGGAACTCCCCAGCCATTGGAAATGAAAACCTGAATCGTACATAACTTGAAAGAGAACGGCATGGCGGTTCTAGCTGACGTTTTAGAATTCAAAATTCATTGTTTGGCCTAGGAGCAGCAAGTTCGGACATTTTGCTTGGAATGGCTTACTACGGTAAACTTGATCTGGTGTAGAGATGTGCAACCCGACCCATACCCGCAACCGTACCCTACCCGACCTGAAGGTTGAGTACGGATACGAAGTTGTCGGGTACGGATACGGATAGGAAGCTGTCGGATCGGGTACGTGTGGAAAAAAATTTTCGGGTCTGGTACGCGTGCAGATCTCTAATCCGGAACTTGAATGTTTTCATACGCCTGCTTCCAAAACTGTTCTGGATCGTATGCTGAAACCGCAAGGTTCTAGCTTTTTTCGTTGAAAAATTATTCAAAAGTATCATGGTCCATTCTTTTTTTAAACGGATGATGGTAATAGCCGGCTTGTCTACATAACTCCTATGGCAGATATGTTAAAGTGTTACTTTTTTTGCTCATTTTGTTTAGACTATTACTCCGAAACTAAAAGTCGTTGGGAGTTTGGAGACGTTTTTAAATTATAGAAAAAACTGTTTTCTATATTTAGAGATCTAATCAAATTGTATGAAACCCATCTTAAAAAAGCTGTGGCCAAAATGCTAAGATCGACACCTTTGGTTTCAACTCTTAAAAAACAGGTCTCAGTATTCGGATTACAGTTTTTTTAAGATGGATTTCCTACAGTCTAAATAGATCTCAAAATGTAGAAAACAGTTTTTTCTTTAGTTTAAAACGTCTCCGAACTCCCTACGACTTTTAACTTCGGAGTTATAGTCAAAACGAAATGGGTGAAAAAAGTAATGCTGTGACATCTCTGCCATAGGAGTTACATGAATCGGCCGTAAATACCCACATATACAACAAAAATTTAGGTTCAAATCCATTTTTGAACAAAATTTTTAACCAAACGGTTACAAATGATCCATATATACGTGTATATGTATACCACATATAATTGTATGTATAGTTACGAGCTCATTAGGTTCGAAGTCTTCAGGTTTTAGAAGCTGGTTGTTGAGCTGATTTTTCGATGAGATATTTTGTATGTAATCTAACACAAATTTTTCCGACAAACGAAACGTTAAACGATGTTTTTAAGACGAGTCTTCACTATCCTCTCGTCCTTTACCACGACATCTAAATAACAAATATAATGAGCAACAGTTTATGTGTGATGAGATAATATCCAAATTCTTATTCTGCTTACATGTAACATGGCTTTGATTCTTTAATAGTTTTAACACTAAATTGTCCTCTTCTTCTTTTACGTCTGGCTAACCTATTCTCGCAACATTTTATGATTCTACAGTTTAGTAAACCTCTAATATATAACGATAAAGCAAATAACTCGAAGGGATGACAAAGAGATTTAAACGAAAATGTATCTATAAAAGAAGAGAAAAGAAATTGTTTGCAGGTTATATATAATTTGGAATAGGAGAATACGGCTTACCACCAGGTTTTACAAATCCTTTATAGACAATTACATGTTCTTGGCCATGATTTTGTTCTTGCAGAACTACAATTTCATCTGGAATAGGTTCGAGTGATGAACTGCGTCGCTGCAACGAGGATTTCGAATATTTTAATGTTATTGTACATTGTCGGTCAGATATTGGTTTCGACGATAATGGAAAGGGACGTGGTCTCTGTACATGAAATAAGCTGTTAGACTGTGTCGTTGACAGCAGAAAACCTTCTGAAGCTTTTCTTGACCATCCGGAAATTTTTTTTTGAAACAACCCTCAGACAGTCATTCGATCTTCTCTTACATTCTTTTTTACCTCAAAATGACGGCTAAACGCTAACGATACTTCTGAACTTCTTGCTTGTCGTGGCTTTTCTGTTTTCTAAAAACAGAGACATTGTCATGATCAGTTATTCTTCTTTTGATGATGATGTACATACCATGGAACCTTCCAACTTGGTCGAATGTCTTCCCCTAGATGGTGATGATGATCCTCGATAGGATTCCTGTGGAAACAGTAAAATAACACCAGAACTGACTTGTATCTCAAGACTTTTTAGCTCGTTTCCTCTTACTTTTGCATCATGAGCCAAAGCCCATTCAGCAATTATTCGAAATTGTTGCTCCATATTGTATTTAATTGGAAAAATAGACTAGATTAATAAGATATAAGACACAAATCTTGTAAGGTCTTGGTTCTAAACTTATGACTGCAATTTGTAATATAAAGACGTAAAACTCTAAAGCGAGAAGGAATTCTTGATATTTTAGTAACGATTTACCTCTGTAGAATGTATTTTTGGATTTTTTTCCTTATAAGTGTCTTTCAATAGAAAAAAAACGAATTTTTTAATACAGAACATATTTCCCTTTCTTCACATTCATTTAAAAACGTTAAGTGTAAATATGTTGACTTTTGAAAAAAACAGAGCAATAAGCACTTTTATGTACACTATTGGAAAAGAAGAAAAGTATGAGACTGGAGAAAAACTGTTATATTATTCTTTTAAATGTGTTTATGTTCTTCTTAAAAAAAATTTTCGTTTATTGAGAATAATATTTCAAAAATCAAGATTGATGGCCGAAATACCGAAGCATATTCTGTGCAAATAAAATTGAGATATGTTCGCTTAAGGTCAGCTTCGACGCCCCTACATAAGAAACCAATCTTTGGGCTCTCAATCCGATATGAGATAAATTTTTGAATAAATACTGGTCATACTAAAAATACACTGATGATAAAGTTTTCTACGCTTCATCTATCAGTGTTCTTAAGATGTCGCCGATATATCAGTCAAAATGAAGCATTTAATGTTTAAAACAATTGTCTAACAAATTAAATCGAGAGCGAGCGGCTTTAAATTATAGCGGTATGATACAGAGATGGGTGAGTCCGAGTCATGACTCGGACTCGAGTCACCTTTTTTTAATGACTCGGACTCGAAGATTGGGTGACGTTGACTCGACTGTTTGACTCGAGTCATTCATTAAAAAAAAAATTTAATTTGCTCTTATAAAAAAATCACAACTCATCAGATTAAATTTTCACTTATTCGTGAGAATAGTTGATTTTGATGTTCTTGTTTTGTTGATAAATCTATAGTACTTGTGTCATTT